GATAAAAATAAGAAAAAACATTTATATATTTTGAAACGACCTATTTCGACTGGTGATAATTTTTGTTACGGTTGGCCGTTTCGCACGTGATAAAGTATACAATAAATTAGGCCGTGAAGACTTCGAAATGGTGCTAAGAATGCAATATTTTGATTTTGTTTTAACATTCCCATAATAATTACGAACTTTGAGACATAAATAAAGAAAAAAGAGGAGAAGGCGTGGCTATGTTGAGTGTGGTTGCGTGGGTGGCTAAAATTGGGTGCATTTTTTTTCCATTTTTTTAAAACATGTGGGGCGCGCCCGTGTGAGTAACTGGCAGGCCCCTGTAAAATATGCTCCTGTACTTGGAGCATTTTTCAAAATTGGAGGCGGTTGGTGGCTGGAATGCATCAGTGCCACGTCAGTTTTTTTGAATGACTTGTGTGATGGAAGTTCTGTACGCGTAGCATTACATTCCGATGAAAACACACACACACAGCCTTTCATTAACATGTGCAAAATCTGTAAACGAATTCCTCTTATATGGGTGAAGTTTATTGATAATTACGCACTTATATCTCTCCGAACTGTGTGTGGAAATGAGTGGAATTTACGACAACTGGGAGAGGCTGGTTGGAGCCACATTAAAACGAGAGGAGTTTCGGGAACTTGCTCGTGCCCCCAGTTTCAGCTCTACTTCTTCAGATTNGATTTCAGTTCCAGGTTCAGTTTCATTTCCCCTATTCACAATCATATTCCAGTAAACCCTGAAGGTGCGTCTCTTATACTTTTGTTGATAATGAAGCAATTAGAGGCCGGTCTATATTAATTATTTGGTTAAGGATTGGCGCTAATTGCTTTTATCTCTACATTATTTGTCCTGTTTTGCAATTTCATTTGCGCCTTAGATTTTGTCCTGATTTTTCTGTTATGTTTCTTTAGAGGGATTAAATTATATTATTGTTATTAAATTGGGCATTGTTTGATTACTAGTAAGGTGAGCGTTCAAATATATTTCAGTAGATTACTTTGCATAAGTCTGAAATTTTGAGTTGGTTATAATGTTCTGTTCTTTATGTTTCATTCGCACAGAATGATTTGACTTCCTGTAAAATAGGAAAATTAGTATAAATCACATGATTTTGAAGTTCTGATGCCCTTTTAAATGTTTGACAAAATGTGGAGAGATATTAAAGAACATATAAAAATTAGTTTCAATCTTATTAGTGAACATATGTGCATTCCCAGTAAACTTTGGATTTCGATGATGATTAACTTGTGATACTTCTATGTTCTTTTTTCCTCTCCTTTTCACCACCAAGTTAGCCGTTTTAAAATTGTGTTTTTGAACTTTCAGCCTCTTGTCTTGTTTGAGTGATGAATGCTAAAATATTTTACTAGCAACAGAGTATATGTTTTATGCATGTGAACCCCATAAATTCATGTTTATGTTTGCTATCATTTGAAATTTACTTTAATTCATGAACAAACTTGGTATAAATATTTGGCTCTCTGCACCTGTTCCTGTAATACATCACAAGCATCTAGAATTCTCAGCAAATCCTGCAATTCTTCAGCTTCCTCCAGCTCAAATATTCCTTTCTATAGTGGAGAAAGTAGTGGTGAGAGCCTCCCTACGCCAAGATCAGAAGATGGACAGCCAAATGCTAATGCTAAGCCCATTCGGATCGAAGAGTAACANTGAGAGCCTCCCTACGCCAAGATCTGAAGATGGACAGCCAAATGCTAATGCTAAGCCCATTCGGTTCGAAGAATTACAGAAAGCGACCAGAAACTTTCGACCTGACTGCATTTTAGGTGAAGGAGGATTTGCTCTTGTTTTTAAGGGATGGATCAACGAGCGCACTCTTACTGCTGCAAATCCGGGATCCGAAATGACGGTTGCTATCAAGAAGTGGATTCCCTGTGGTTTCCAAGGGTTCGAGGAATGGTTGGTATGTTCTTTTTTGCAGTCTTTGTGAGTCTTATGGCATAGTTATGAAAAACTTTCAGTAACCACCCACATTTTGCAGACAGAAGTTAAATATCTGAGCAATTTTCGTCATCCAAACCTGATTAAACTTATTGCTTACTGCAACGAGGGTGACAACCTTCTTTCGGTATATGAGTTCATGCCAAAAGGAAGCCTAGACAATCGCTTGTTCAGAAGTAGGTTTCACTTAAATAACTTATTATTAGATGCATGGTTGCTTAATATTTTTTCTATTTATGAACAACCCTTAAATATATTACTCCCTTGTCATATTTGTTATTTAATAATCCGTGAAGCATTACCTTTGTGTACCAGCTGTATGCCATTTCTTGTACTTGTTTCATATGCATAGGATATCCATGACTAACTCTTGGATATAATTTAAAATATTATATGTTTCATTAGTTCCAGTGAGGATCTCAATCATTTCAATATTTTTAGTAGTTTGCGCCTTTAGTAGACCAATACAGAAAGCCAGTAATGATATAGTTATGGAATGCTTAGCTGATAAATTTCTGGTCATGGCTTCTAAAAAACACTTTGTGCATCACAACTTTAAATGTACGGGGATTATGGATCTGTCTTTCTCAGTGTTCTAAAAAGCGTATCTGGGTGCTGCCTAGACATGAGGCGCGGGCGAAACGTCACGCCGTGACAATATACGCGAAATTAAGCCATCAGCTGCCAAGTTAACCACTTAATGCTCGACTATGGGTGTCTAAGGGCGCATTATTAATTTTTTTTATTTTTTTCCTTTTTTGAAAAGCCTTTTATTTGACTTTAATTTATTTTTTTTCCCTTTTTTAAAAGCCTTTTATTTGACTTAGTTTTTAGTTTTTAAATGACTTTATCTGTATATAAGTAAAAAATGACTTTATATAAAGAGTTAGATAAAATTTAAGTTAAGATGCTATCTACATTATATAATTATGATTTTGAGGCTTATAGTTTTGTTGAAAACTTCGAAAGGATTTATGAAATTCATATAAATATATTAAGTAGAACTTGTTTATTTGAAACTGCGAAAATAGTCTCGCTTTTGCATTTCGAAAATTAGAAAATTGTATAATTAACTAATTGTAAGAATAATTTAGTAAATATAATATTTTATAATTTTAGATGTTTGGTATGTATTATTTTAATAATTGAATAATTTTTAGAATGGTTAAAAATTTAAAGAAATATTAAAAATTAGAAAACATTTAGAACATTGGCCGTTCCCTTCATTGCAAGTTTTTCAGGAACCTAAGTGGTTCTTGCTTTTCAAGTTGGTAAGTGTAAAAATTTACTCCACACCAATAATGATGTATAATTGAATCCAAGGGTTTACATCATATAGGATCTTGTGATAATTTTCCAGAAATTTTGAAGCCACATTAGAACATATATCTAATAACAATGGGCGGCATTTGGTAATGATTTTCTTCCACAGGAGGGCATCAATGTCTTTCTTGGTCTACTAGAATCAAGATAGCTGTTGATACTGCTAGATGCCTTTCTTTCTTGCATGATGCTAAAAACAAAGTGATACATCGAAATTTGAAGCCTTCTTGCATTCTTTTGGATGAGGTTTGTTCCTTGGATAATTTTTTTTTTTTGTCTTGGTTTCACCTAAGGTAGTTGCTTGCATAGAAAAAATAATATCTTGTTACATAATGGGGCAGGATTTTAATGCCAAGTTGGCCGGCTTCAGTCTCGCTAAAGATGGGCCACCTGATGATAAGACTCACGTGTCCACTCGAGTAATGGGTACATGTGGCTACATTGCACCGGAATACCTTGCTACAGGTTTGGCACGACAAAATATTAATTTTCTGCTCCTTTTTCACTTCAAAATCATATTATCATTAATGTAGCCATATTAAACCCCTTGTTGATGAACAGGCCATCTAACGGAAAAGTGTGATGTATATAGCTTTGGAGTTGTTTTGCTAGAATTACTATCTGGCCGTTGGGGTTTTGAAATATCTGCTGATGAAGAACAGGTGCTAGTGGATTGGACAAGATCATATTTGTCTAAAAAGAAAGAAGTGAATCAAGTGTTAGACGCCAAATTGGAAGGCCAGTACCCTCTGGAAGGAGCAGTTATAGTTTCAAATCTTGCTTTGCAATGCGTAAGTGATAATCCCAGAAGCAGGCCGCACATGACAGAGGTTTTAGCCACATTGGAACGACTCTAAGGTTCATATGAAATCAAAAAATAAAGATTATTCCATATCTGCTTTGTCTGTCAGAACAAAAATCCATCAACCAAATCTAAATATGACACCTTTGGAGTGTCTGTAATTATTGCATGAAAAGTCTTTATGGTGTAAGATTAATAAGTTGGATTTAGTTATTGGCAAAATCTTCTCCTTATCATTTCTATCCCTTTATTCTTCAAAATTTTGTTGTTTGTATGTGTCTATATATATATCCTCTAAATCAGATCAAATATTCTATATGCCCTACACTTGTTCGGCTAGTCTGTCCATTCCTGCATACTAAACATGCCTTTGAGTCATTTTACTGGCAAATATTGTTAAAATATTAATCTAGAATCAATGAATCTTGATCTACATGCATTTAGAGTTATTGTGGATGAATTTAGTTATGTTCATATATCTAGGAATCTTGAATGGGTGCTTTAAGTTTATCTATTAGCGATTAATTCTTATGCACTAAATATAATATAAAAAGAGTTGTTCATTTGTAATATTTCATCATCATAAAAAATGTGAGATCATGGAAGTTGAGTTTTGAAAGAACAATTTTCTTCTCTTAAATTTCTATCTGAAATATTGATAAGTGCGGGTTTTTACACTTATTCGAACCATTAATTTAGA